TGTGCGTTTTTGTTTGTTTAGTTGACAGGGAGGACATTGAAATTCAAAATAGTTCTCCACTCTGGGTGGTTGGGTGCAGGTCAAGTGAAACAAAAGTACACTTCCCAGGGGGCAATACGATGCACACACAAAGCCCATCAAGATACACACAATTAGATCTGACTGGATAGGGCTGCAGATGTTTATAAAGAAAGGTTGACAGCAGTGTATCTGTGAGTGTTAACATTCAGGGAGGCCCACTGTAAACAAGCAAGACTGAACTGTATTGTAGCTGTTAAGAATCCCCTAATTTTCTGCAGATGTACATTAACAGTACCCATTATGTTCATCTTCTGTCTACACAGCATTCCCTGAATGAACAGCTCAAGAGATGAGACAGATGTTACTGTAAGCAGGGAGGGAAGAGAATATATTGGGTGTGATTATGTCAGGCCTTGGGGGGGGAGAGAACATGTTGAATGTTCTTTGAACTATGGGTTCCTTCTTCTACTGACCTTAGATCTGTCCAAAAAAGGCACTCCAAGTCCATATTTATTCTAAGAGGGTTTCATTTGTTGCAGCACACAAGCCCTAGAGACTGCTGCCCTCTCTCAGTCTTAGATCAGGATCACAGAAAGTTTGGGTTAAGTCAAATGCCCACCACTGTCAAGCTGTCCCGTTCCCTCACCCACCTGGTTGCTGTTAAGATGCTTAATGCTTTTTCAGTCAGTTCAGATTTTGCCTTTTTCACACAGGTCCCTATTGCATCAGCACCCTGACTCGAAGTATCTAGTTAGGGGTTGACAAACAGGAGCTCAGGTTCTCATAGGCTGGATCCCTCTGGCAGTGAAAATGAGGCTCATTGGTAGGTAAAAGCACTGGTGGAGGAATGGGGGGTGGGCAGGGGAGCACACCGCCCCCAGCACCATCGGGGAGGGGGGTACCACTGCAGTGCACTCCGGACACCCCCCACCGTGCCGGGCACCACGCCCCCGCAGGCGGCACACCACGTCCCCAGGGCGCCATGTCCCCAGGACGCACACCACTCTCCCAGGATGCGCGCCAGCCATGCCCCCGCCTGCTCTCCACCCCTGGTGCCGGAGCATGCAGCTTCACCACTGGGTAAAAGGTAAAGGTAAAGGACCCCTGGATGGTTAAGTCCAGTCAAAGGGGACTATGGGGTTGCAGTGCTCATCTCACTTTCAGGCCGAGGGAGCCAGTGTTTGTCCACAAACAGCTTTCCAGGTCATGTGGCCAGCATGAGTAAATTGGTTCTGGCACAACAGAACACTGTGACAGAAGCCAGTGTGCACGGAAATGCTGTTTACTTTCCTGCCACAGTGGTACCTATTTATCTACTCGCACTGGCATGCTTTCAAACTGCTAGGTTGGAGGAGCTGGGACAGAACAATGGGAGCCCACCCCATCATGGGGATTTGAACTGCTGACCTTCCAATTGCCAAGCCCAAGAGGCTCAGTGTTTTAGACCACAGAGCCACCCACGTCTCCTTGGTATTCACCCCCCCCTCTGGTATTTGTGGAGCCTTGTCTCCCTGGGTTTACAGGATTTGGCCACTGATGGCTCTTGTGGTAAAGGTTGATAGACAACTCTAGTTTTGTAAAAAAGAAAAGAAAAGAAAAAGGCTGAATTAATTGGCCAGAGCTCTGAGGTATCCAGCACAAACCTCTCCCAATGGGCTAGTGCATAAGAAAGACTGGCAACTCTTATTGTTGGGTGGGGTCTCTTGCCCATATCCCAAGGATGTAGCTATGTGTGAAGCCCATTTCCCATAATCCAGTTTTCTACCAGATCCTTAATATCATCCAAAGAAACCCAGCTTCCTCATAATTTTTCACAGGACTAACCTTCTACAGGAATTCCACAGAGAAGGACAAGTCCAGACACAAAGTCTTCAGCCACATAAATAGGAACCTACAAGAGAAGCCAATATTAATGCAGGCAATAAATATGTTGCCACATGCCCATTGGCTGAGTCTGGTAGGTGAAAAATAACTTATTTATACCCCAAAGCAAAAAGGCTTGATTGGACAAAAATGGGGAAACCAAGCGATTTCTCTGATCGATGTTATTTAAAGGCGCAAACGAGTGAAAATGCCCAGTGTTTTCCACACAGTGGCATGGGGCCATGGGGCTCCAGAGGAGCACAAGTAGCCTGTTTTGTTCCAGGAACAATTAGTGCATTCCATCTGAGCCACTGGGCAGGGTGCAGAAGGAGAGAAGAGGCTTCCTCATAATAGCTTTGGTCAGAAAGCTCCAAGTTGGTGGGAGTTCCTCCAGACACTGTCCAGAAAGCAGGCCGCTAAGCTGAGAAGTCCTGGATTTCCCTCCCCTCCCCATGCCAGCAAAACTATGCTGAGAATGCATAGGCTTCAGATGAAGCTGAAGCAGATACTTCACAACCAAGGGGGAGTAATGTTCCCAGCGGAGGACAAGGAACACTCAAGAAGGGAGGGCTGTCTGGAGCTCAGAGAACAATCCCTATGTGTGAAGCTGAGAGATATTTGGAATGGATTAGATAGAAAGGGGGAGGGATGCTGCACACGAGGAAGGAGGGGAAGGGGTGGCTGTGTGTGCTGCAAGTTTATTTACTGCTGCTGTCTAATAAGAGAGTATGGCATAGCAGCTAGAGTGTTGGTTGGAGGTGGAGAAGCCAGCTTCAAATCATGCTCCCTGGGTGGTTTTGAGCAAGAGACTGTCTCCATGGTTAACTTATCTCACTTGTTGTGACCTGAGTTCTCCCCGTAGGAAGGACACAGAATACCAATAAAATAATAAAGGTACTTAGGATTGCAATTCTTCAAGACATTTATTAGCGAGTAAGGATAGGGAAACGGCGTTTCCGTGCGCTGCTCTGGTTCACCAGAAGTGGCTTAGTCATGCTGGCCACATGACCCAGAAGCTGTACGCCGGCTCCCTCGGCCAATAAAGCGAGATGAGCGCCGCAACCCCAGAGTTGGTCACGACTGGACCTAATGGACAGGGGTCCCTTTACCTTTACCTTTGAGAATAGGGGAGACATTTTGTACAGTACACAAAGCTACCTAATTCACCCCTCCCAAAATATACAGACAAAAAAATGCAGCTAAGCTTCAAAATTCACACCTCTAGGAATTTTGCAATACAATGCAACCATAAAATGGGCACAAAACTTGTATATTAGAGGAATGTGTGCATGGAAAAGGTACATGTTAATAAAAACAACCAAGATGCATTATATTATAGAAAGTTGTTTACAAAGTGAGTGTAATAGGCAGAACTACATAAAAATGTGTATATAAGGAGAAAAGCACACTAAAATGTTGGCAAACTTGCATGAGAACTATTTTCTTAACTCACAAACAGATGCAGAAATGTGGCAGGTTGGTAAAATGAGAAAGGGAAAGAAACTAAAATTGATAGATTTGTCTATGACTACTAGGGAGTAAGCCTCACTGAATCTACCTGAGCTTGCTTCTGAGTAAAGCTGTGTAAATGTGCATTCCCTTTGCTACCTTTGTTCCATCCATAGGATTCTTTGGCAAATTGGCCATGATTTACTTGGCTGGAATCTATTCAAATGTATTTGGATATGGAAAAGCTCCATCATTCTGGACAACAGATATGCATCTTAGTTTTAATAGCTTTTTCCAGTTGTCCAACAGCACTGCAAATCAGAGGTTAATTGGAAGATTTTATTGTAGTGTTTTGCTGGCTGCTACCCAATCAAGCATTAGCCACTTTCACAGGACAAATGCATGGGCACAGAACGGGTGGACAGAGGAGCAGGAATATATGCACTTTCTCTGCATCTAGTGAACTGTGAACAGAGCTTGCAGGACTATACAAGTATGAACATAACCAGGGTTCCCAATCCCACAGAGAACAAGCAGTGATCCCGCTTCTCCATGCATGTGTGAAAAGAACAATCGATACTTTGGTAGCAGAAATGCACACACTATGCTGTGCTTGTGCATTAATAGGAGGTTGGATTAGCTGTTCTTTGAGATCCCTTCCAAGTCTCTGTCTTTAAATAGGTTAATTTTGTGAAGATGAAATACATACTGCATTACCATGGCATCTATGCCATCTATGCTGCTCAATATTAATTATCTTACAACTCAACTTTCAAATACTATTTAACATTTACTACTACTGCATTATCACCACAAAATGCAGCTAAACAGGATACAACCTATGGTAAATTGTCTGGGGAATTTTGAGCTGTTTGGAAGCTTAGCAGGTTCCATAGGAAGAACAACTGAGAGACTATTATTCGTCCACCAGTTCCCATTTTGCTTTGCTAAGTGATGTACCATTGCACACTAGATGTTAGTATTGCATTGCATGCCAACAGTCAAAATAAGCCGAAATATTAACTCAGATATCAGATTCTGAACCTGCATATCTGTGGGTGTCAAACGCAAACATCCGGAGAATATCCAGAAAGAATATCCAATATCTTTGCCAAGTTGGCTTGAAAGTGAACTGGCTTCACATCCTGATACTGGACACTTACAGGCTGGTGCAATAAAATAAAAACAGTGGCAATTGTGTTATTTGGTGGTTGTGAAACTTTACCTGTTGATTACTCCCCAGAACTCAGTTCATGAGAGCAAAGAACCACTTTGTCAGTTAATTTATGAATGACAAAGAGAAGGGACACTGTACTTTCTTCCCTTAAGTATGGTCCAGTCTCTTCCCTTAGACGAGGGGCAACCCTGCTGTATTTAGATTTTCTACATGGGAGCGTACATAGATCCTGAGTCACATGTCAACTTAGGCTCTCAGTTGCACACTTCATCATGGGCGTGTGGCCTGGCCTGGAGTCATTAGACACCCATATCCTTGAAGCCTGGGGTGATTTGCTTGACTTTTTCCCTTGAGTCTACTGGGGCTCATCCACTGGCACTCAGACTGGAACCCATTTCAAAGGCCTCTCTAGAAGATTGTTCAAAAGTAGCTCTGAAGAGGCTGCTCCTGAGTTTTAGGAATCCCCAAGGTGGGCAAGGGGAAACCTTACCTCTGCTCAGTCATCAGTCAATGGAAGGTCAGTTCTTCATTCAAGAGGTGAGTGTTTGGCTCTGAGTCAGAGCATGGCAGTTACCAACACCTGTGTGAAGCCCAAAGTCATGGTTCAATAGACAACACAGCTATTCCCCACTAACTGTCTCCCCAATTCCCCAACTAAATCAAATAGTTGATTTCTGGGTCATTAAAAAAATGAAAAATTCCAAAGTCCCACTCCTTATAGTGCATCTCTGTGTTTCTCCCATTGAGAGCAGGGCATCTTGCTCTCCAGCCCCCAGAACTCAAATTTGTTTCGTAATTTGTGGAGTGAGGCCATTTCAAACCCATAATGAGGAGCTGCTGCTTGTAGTCCTCCGTCTCAGAACTGCAGGCCTGAATCCAAAGTCTTGAATGTAATGGGAATCTAATTGTGTCTTCCACTTGATTAGATTATGCTGCTGCATTTCCTAACTCATTTATGTTCAGTTTGCAATCCATCATGAACCCGGTGCCTCCACTGATATACTGCCAATTGATAGCATGAGGGCCATTAATGTCTGAAATGTTGTTTTTGAGAGGCCGGTTGTGGGTAAATGCATCAGGGTTTGTTCACCAATTAGCGGGTTTTCAGGAACCAAGCTTTAAGCTGAGTGATGAAACACTAGCTTGTGCTAGAATGGATTTAGGAGCTGGGACATGGGCCTATTTAAAGTGCTCCTGTAACTACCATCATTCTAAGAACAGAATATCACTAGCTTTAAGGCCATAGTTTAAAGATACGGGACAAGGCTCTCATTCCCAATAAAGAGAATGACAGATTGCTACAATTCTAGTGATTTAATCTTATGGAAAAGACTGTTGCTAGGAGAGATGCTTCTTCATCCTAAACAGAATAGCTGTGTTCAGAGAGGGAACTCATACTTTTTCAAAGACAGGGCACTCTCTCTCTCTATTAATACCTGGTCAAGACGCCCCCTATTGAGCTACCAGAACTTTAACCTCACCTGGCCAGCCTTTCATAGAGCTAGCACTGAGAAGCAGATGCCAATGTGATTGCTGTCTACTTTCTGCTATACCAACAGGTCTACTCCACTGATTTCAGTAGAAGATTGCGCATGCAAGGCAGCCTCCTCCCATCTACATTAATACGGAAAAGTTTGTGTCTGGGGGAACTTCATTTGCACACCAAAACCTCTACATGTATCACTTGCAATGCCCAGTGAATCTAAACATGATGAGTTTGAGCTAAAATAAGCAAGTTTGGGGCTCAAAATTTGCTTGCTAATGTGCTTTTGATTTCATTAGGATCTGAAATACGTGGGCTGGTGAGAATCTCATCAATGTCATTATTTCTAAATTTTGAACCAATTAGAAATAAGTCTTGAAAGAACAAGTTAATTTGTTAAGTTGAATAAGCTTGGAGTCCTTATATCCAGCCATTTATGTATGTGTTAAAACATGACTAGCTTGCAATGAGAAAGAAATTGTTTCTTCTAGCAACGTTGAAACTTCTTGCCATTATCTTTCAAAGCTACACCAGCGTTGGATAAAGTTTTGTTATCTCTGTAGCCGGGTAACTGACTCTGGCCTGCACATTGGCCATGTAAAATCTTCTTGCATTTTTCCGGATTAAAGTGAACATTCATGCCAGGTTGACTAAAGGGGTTAGCAAGCATGAAACAGCCCGAAGTGCAGAGACCTAAGATTTGGGTGTAGACTGTTTAATCACGGCCCATTACACGTTTAACCTCCATCTGAGTCACTGTAGTGGGATAACCAAAGTCTGGATTCTCTGGCAAATTAACTCTGAGTCTTCAAGCCCACACATCTCAGATATACTTTCCATAGATACTGGACTTTCAAGTGCTTGTATCAAAACTTCTATGCCTACGATGGAGCTGTTTGTGCCTCTATGATTTATGAATAGCTGGGTGACTCTCAGAAGAAACCTACCTTGGTGAGATGCATATGTGTTGCAAAATGTGGAGAGAACGCAATTCTGTTCACAGGCCTGGCTTCCCTGGAGAAAGATTTGTCTGCATTAGAGGGAGATTGCTCTAATCCACTATGTGGAAAGAAAATACTGTAAACATGAGGCTGGAATATATTGTGCTGAAGCAGAAGGCGCAATGGCAGTGCTTGAGCACTATGCTCTTTGCGACTGGGTGGGTCTTGAACCAATGGATTTGTGCTGTGATCAGAAATGAAAGCATTCAGACTACTCCCCACCCACCACCCAGGGGTGGCCCATCATTATCTAAAAAAATAAACCGGATATACTGCAGAATATAAATATTCACCCTGCAGAGGGCTTGTGATGTCATCGCAGGGATACCTGAAATTCATGTTAGTGATTTTGTTTCACCTGTGAAAATATTCTTTGTAACTCCCCATACTGTAGCTTTGCAGTCGAAGAGCAGACTAAATGTAAACAGGCATTGAAAGTAAATAAGAGCATCTTTTCTTCTACGGTATAAGGCTGACACATAGCCAAAACAGAAAGAAGTAAAGCAGAGGGGATCTAATGGATGCATAATGACATCTTGGTGCAGAGAAGGAGGATACCACATCAAATAATTATACATTCTGCCTTTATAGTATTTGAGTGGCTGCAGTAAATGCTGTAGGATGGAGCACTTAGCGTAAATGCATAATATGGGTACCAGATTTCTCAGGGTAACACAGCCTGGAATGCTTGCAAATTCTATTTTGAAAAAGCAATTATCAGCTGTGGAGTTGTGAATAGTCACAGATGCCATTACCATTAGTAGCACAGCACCCCCTAGCAAAAAGCCAGAGAATTTGCTCTGCTAATGACTCAAAGGCAGACAACCATGTGCCACAAGGGCTTCCCAAAGTGTGAAATGGGGCTTCTAGGGTGGCTTGTTCTCCTTTTCTGAATTCTTCCAGACCTTTTTCACAGGCAGCTTAATTGGACCTGGCGTCGTTGTATAATTCCCCCCTCCCTGTTTTAACCACTTGTGTTTGTAGGTTTCTGGGGAGGTGGGGTTGCAAATGGCTGCACGACTCCCAGTTTGTATGCGCCTGTCCTGGAAACATAATGCGTGCAACCTGCTCTCTCTGTTTTTTTAATCCGCCTGACTTGAAGATGAGAACATTGCGCCCCTGACTGAGTCTGGCTTCTGTCAGGTTAATTATCTGTAAGAAAGGCCGAACAACTACTCATTGACACTCATACCTGGACAAAGATTAAGCATTCTGAGCACTAGGAAGGGTCTGTTGATTTCTGAAGTATGCTGAGATATCTTTGGGGAAATCCCACATGTGCATCTGTACGCAAAGCTCAGCATCGCTCATGGCAGCAGCTAATATTTCAAGAGAAGACATCAGCACTTTCCCTGGAAATATAAAAAAGGGTGGGGGTGAAAGGGAGCAGCTCAATTTCAACAGCGTGGTAGCAGGAAGTCACCCCCCTCCCAGTTAGTTCACCAAGGAAACGGGCGGCCAGGTTGCTCTTGAGTTTTAACGGCTTTTGCGGTTCCCCTCTCAGTTTCCTGGCCCTTCTTTTTCATAACCTGAAAAGCATTAAAAGGGGGCTGTTTTCATTGGTCCTGGCTCCAGAAGAGTATAAAATGTGTCTGAGGCCCAAGTGGGGGAGAAATGTAAATGCAGGAAGCATGAAGCTGCAGAGATATATTCCTTCAGGACCAGCGGCATTTTTATCTGCTGATTCATTGCTTCCTTTTTTTGCATCTGGCTTCCTCTCCAGCCCTATACCTTAATTTGTTGACTAATTACCGTATTTTTCGCTCTATAACACGCACTCGACCATAACACGCACGTAGTTTTTAGAGGAGGAAAATCCGTAGGCATGCCACCCGTGGGCATTCCCTCCATAACACGCACAGACATTTCCCCTTACTTTTTAGGAGGAAAAAAGTGAGTGTTATGGTGCAAAAAATACGGTAATTTGCTATTTACAGCTCGGTTTGCTTGTGAAAACAGCCAGCCCGCCTCCGTTTGCTCTATGTCTCAGAATTGTACTCTGTCGCCATTGATAGTACGCTGCGTCCTTTTCCCATTCTTATTTCTGTGTCGGATCTGGAACAGCCCACTCCCCAAGACTATTGCTGTTGCAAATAATGTGTATAACACGCTCTGCATTTTACAGTTTTTTTGGGTTTTTTAGCTGTCCAAGGGTGGGGAAGGTATGTCTGTCTGCATGACTGGCCTCTGCAGAAGAAAGAAGATCTCCCTTCAGATAGATTTTTATCTGAACTTGGTACAGAGTTAAGCTCAGAACTGCTGTTCATGTGGTATTCTCCTCCAGTCCGATATAGCCTCAAATGTGTACCTGCTGATGTGCACTACCAAGCCCAGTGCTTTTTTTCTGGGGGGACGCAGGGGTATGCATACCCCTAAACATTTTGTGAATCTATCAGGAGAAGAAACTAAAAATTGTAAAAAAAATACAATTAGTTTCTTCTCTAGCACGGTGAATCGTCAGTTCCATTGCTACCCCCAATGGCGGCCTCATTTCCTGTCATGGTGTATCCTGAGTATCAAACGGAAGTGAGCATTTAATGTGTCAAGTTGGAGTTGGAATTTAGCACGGTGATTGGTCAGTTTCGTTGTTACCACCTCCGATGGTGGCTTCATTTCCTTTCCTGGTGTAATGCATGCTCTTTGTGCTTTAGTCCATTTACTGTATTTATTTTTCCTGATTTGAACTATAAAATGATGGTTTTCTTGAGTCAAAATGAGAGTACCCCTAAGCATTTTTGGGGGGAAAACAGCACTGACCAAGCCCATTTCAAAGTTTTAGTGTTGTTCTACAAAGCCCTGAGCACAAGACTCATCATTGTTTTTAGGGCAGGGGAAGACTTGTTTGCATGACACAGGAAGAATGAAAGCATGCAAAGTCCACCCAAAATGAAAAACCTCCAAAATATTAAGCAGAATGTCAAGATCTGGAGATGTTGCATTGGTGGGTGGAGGAAAGGATGCTCAGCAGCAGCTCTGAAAGGCACTTTTGAGGGTGTGCTTTCTGCTGCTGTGCAATCCATAGGAAATCTGCCAAGGGAAGGACCATAGCTGAACACATGCGTTGCAGGCCAAAGGTTCTGGGTTCAATATCTGGCACGTCTGACATGGCTGGGAAAGATGGCATGAAACTATAGAGAGCCACTGCCAGTCAATGCAAATGCAAAACTGAGCTACATGGGTCAATGATCTGCCTCTGCTGCATAAGGCAGCTTCTATGGAATCTCTTCCTCCAGACTCTGCTCTCACATAGCACAATATGGAGGCAATATCATTTCTGCAGGGACTTGTGTGGTCTTTCCATTTAATGTATTGAATCAGTTGTCTGAGTGGGTGGGGTCTGGGCTGGCTTTAGGCTCCGTTGATGGGTGGGGAAAGACTCCTCAGATCTGGCATTGATCAGTCGGTGGGATGTTTGTTTAATTGTTAGGCTGTGTAAATAAAGACAGGATAACATTCCCCGTAGGGCGGAGGCCCGCAAGTAGGCCAGACAACACTTATACTATCCCCAATGGGATAAGGGTGGAGTAGAAGTTGAGATGAAATAAACTAAACAGAGGTTTCCAGATGGCCAGGGCTGTCCTGGACAGTGGAACCATGCTGCTTACAATCGCATTAGATTTAATGCATGAGCAAGTTTATCACAGTTGTCTGACTGTTATAATGTGCTCCTGTTGTGGAACTTAAGGTTTTTAGTTTAGGATTCCAGCACCTGCAGTCCTGATCCACCTTCACATAGTAACACATAACAACCATCGGGCTGAGATGCCAATGCACAGCATAGCCCCATTGGCACTCAAACCAGTCCCATAAATTACCATATAAATTTCCATATAGCAACACAAGAAACAGTGACAATTTATTGTCGACAAAGGACAGCTGGACATATAAGGGGCCCCATTACCTTCAGTAGCTTAGGGCCTCATCAAACCTAAATCCGGCCCTGGATACAGACATAGCATCTCCGAAGTGAATCTGCCCATGCACTTCCTCTAGCAACAACAGCAGCCCTGGGAGCCACAGCAGCAAATTCCTTAAACAGGAGCTATGTCTCATAATAATAATAATAATAATAATAATAATAATAAATTTTATTTATTTCTCATGGGAGAAAGGGACACCCCAACCCTTGGTGATGGCTGCTCTCTGCAGCCGATGGCATTTTTTGAACATTTCTATCCCTTAATCAGAGAAAATGGTAGGAAGCAATAACTCCACAGTCCTATCTATTCCTTCTTCAATATAAAGTGCAACAGGAGAGCAGCAATATAATATTGTGATTACATTCTAGTCTTCTTGCAACCACCAGCACACATTTGCACTGCCAAAATGCATATACCTCTTGGGGATGCAAATGGTGCTATCTTCTCCAGGAGTTGATTTGGCTATGGATGTCTGCGGTACCCATTCCTTATGTATCCATTAGCGAGTGATTCAGCAAATGTCCAACTCACTTATGATGTATCGGCTTCCTTTTGAAAACCAAAGTCTACAATTATGCTCACTGCGTGTTGTCAGGGTGGGAAACAGCAAAGGGCCAAGGGGGGCTGTTTGGACAGCTCTTTCCAGCCACAGAAAGGTTGGGCCTTTTGGGTGTGTGTTTTCTGCCCGGCCAGCTAACTTACAATGGTGATATGTGCATCAACAGAGGCGTGGAGGAAGCATCCTTTTCAGGCAATCAATAGTAATTGGATTCATTAAGGTGCCAGGAAGGGGCACATGCATCTGCAGAGCAGCTTCAGCCACTCCTGAACTAGTTCCCAGAGGGTGGGGGTGGGGAGTACAAAGTTGCATGAAATAGCCCTTTGCTGTTTCCCAGAAAATAAATGCATCCATCCTTCCTACATATCTTGTGTCACATTGCATCTCAGATGTATTCTATCTGAAATAAACTTTTAGTCCTCCACCCATTACAGTGGTGCCCCGCAAGACGAATGCCTCGCAAGACGAAAAACTCGCTAGACGAAAGATTTTTCCGTTTTTTGAGTAGTTTTGCAAGACGAATTTCCCTATGGGCTTGCTTCACAAGACGAAACGTCTTGCGAGTTCTTGCGAGTTTGTTTCCTTTTTCTTAAAGCCGCTAAGCCGCTAAGCCGTTAATAGCCGCTAAGCCGCTAAGCCGTTAATAGCCGCTAAGCCGCTAATAGCCGCTAAGCCACTAATAGCCATGCTTCGCAAGACAAAAAAACCGCAAGACGAAGAGACTCGCGGAACGGATTAATTTCGTCTTGCAAGGCACCACTGTACTACTTCCATAATGTTGTAAACATTTAAGAACCACCCCCAACATATTTCATGTCTCCTCTTTAATCATTCTTAATTGACATGAGACTCTTAATCTCAGGGTTGTGGGTTCAAGTCCCAGGTTGAGCAAAAGATTCCTGCATTGCAGGGAGTTGGACTAAATGACCCCCGTGATCCCTTTGAACTCCAGAATTCTTCATTCTTTGACACGTGATTTCTCCTTGTTTCTCATGGGCATGTACATCAGTGGGTAGGCTATTTCTATCTCTCTCTCTCTCTCTCTCTCTCTCTCTCTCTCACACACACACACACACACAGAGAGAGAGAGAGAGAGAGAGAGAGAGAAAGTGAGAGTGCTGCTGTTAAAATTGACATATTTAGGTACAAACCTTGTCAGTTTCACAGAGTTCAGAATCTGGATTTCCGGTGAAACTAGCAAGCTTGGTCTGAAACCTTTTATATCCTCATAAGAGAAAAATAAACATTCAGAAAGGACTTCAATCAAAACACCCTCTTCAGATCCAGTTCATATGGGGAGCCTTCAGTGGTATCATGGGAAATGTTGAAGTGCAGCCTCTAATCACGATAGACTTCACAGCTACACACCCAAGGAGACTCGAAAAATGCAGGCAGCTGTGTTACTTCTACACACATAAACACCAAAGAGCTTCAGTGCATGGCACAATATCAGCACCAGCAGGATGTAAACACTACTGAGTTTGGTGGTGCTTACTTCTGAGTGCATGGGCTCAATTGGTAAAATTATATAATAATTATTATAAAAATATTTTTTTTAAAGCAGACAGCTCAAATGCAACCCTTAGCTTTCCATGAGAAATGCAAAGAAGTGTTACCATTTAAATGGCAAGTGTAAATTAGAAACTCCAACAAAGAAGAAAAGAGCAGTATCTGCTTGATTATTTTCCTCATTCTATGAGTACCTCTATGTGAATATATCACAAACGAACTCAGAGGTCTCATTATCACCTCATTCATTTGCCAGAGCAAGTTGGGTCCATCAATTGCCCTGGTGCTCAGTCCATAGCTCCTGCTCTGAAAAGAAACCCCCGAGTTCCATTGCCCTGCATCCCTCCCCCCGCCCCACTACTGGGAGATCCTTGTGTGATATACAGCCTTTTTGCCCAATTGTGTTGCCTAAGAAGGTGCACAAGGGACTCCTTGTTTGACTGCTCCTTCATATAAAACTCTCCATCTGGAAAACTTGCACATTTGAGGAACAGACTAAGGAAGAGAAGAGCCAAGATAGCTTCTTTATCATGCACATTCATTCCACACACAGAGATTTCCTCTCTCTCTCTCTCTCTTTTACAATCCTGCAAAATTTCCCCACAACCTGAGGACAATTTGAGCGCCAGGGCAGCTCCACACAAGCAACTGTGATTTCAGCCCTGAGCTTTAAAACCGAGTTGTCAATAAATTGAATCTGGGGCCTAATACAATCTCCTTAACCAAGCAGAAAACAAACAGAAACAAACAAACAACAAGCATTTGCTTTCATTCCTTGGAAATGACAGAGAACAAATAAGGTTCTGCTTTTTTTTTTTTTTACAGAGACTGAAAAATGAATGTCCAACAGAAGGAAGACCATTTCTCCATCCACTTGGATTGTCTTCAGAATCCAATAATTGTGTCCATTTTCTGTTAACTGTGGGTTAGGGCAGTTCATCTGACTTGATAAAAAAATATATGCCAGCACTTCTGGTGGATTGTTCTACAAGACAGAGCCATATGCACCAATGTAACATGCAGCGTTTTATGGCCGAGAGTGTAGGATGCAATAGCATCTAGTATAGAATTTATTTATTCACTGCCCAAGCTGTTTTTAGCTGGTGGATTAGCTAAATGTGGGATGCTGGTATGCCATCCATCTCCTGACATTGCTAAAATCCAACCCAGGTTTCCAGCCTAGAGGGTGGCATTCTTTGGATGGCAGCAGAAGCTTAGATCAGCTTGGCATTCCATTCCCTTTGCTTAAGAGACCAGCATGAGCTTTTGGGTGATAGAATTGGGTACCACTCAAGCCTTCTCCCCTGCATGCTATACAAACACATACACACCCCTCTCAGGGTTACAGTTCCCAGCAACCCTTAGCAAATTACAGGGCCCAGAAATCTTTGAGAGGAAGAGCAGGCTTCAAATGTATGTTAAAGGTATAGTATGCACACAGCATACCTAATGTGGGTTGCTTGTCTCAATTGTCTTAGCTAGTAAACGGGTTTTGTGGAAGTTTGCAGCGCTTCAAAAACTTGTGTGTCTGGTCTGACTACACCTAACAACAGGGCAGGAGAAACAAGCATGTCCCAAATGGGCAATGATGTCCATCATCAAACTCTCTTTTCCAGTTCCAGATGCAGCTTATGGCTAGATTGAAGTACATGTGGTTTCCTTCTTTGACTAGATACCATAGGAGAAGCACAGGAAATAGGGAACTGGTATCTGTTCCATGACAGATTGTAGCCTTATTGGAGTTCACCGACTGGGTCTGCGTTGCTCCGGGACAGGAGGAAGGAAGTCAAAATGACACCGAGTTGGTTCAAAGAAAGAGTTTATTCTGCTCTCCGGATAGCAGAAGGCACTTGCGTGGTGAGTCCATAGCAAGTCCAAAGAAATGACAGGTTTCATGCAGTTTATATATCCTCCAGGCACCCTCTCACTCCTCCCCTAGGAGCCCAACCACGTCGGCCTACGTACGCAAGTTGACATCACATATGTTCCTGCTCTGGTACTCTCAACCATAAAAGGATCTTCCTTCTTGTACTTCTACCAATAAAAGGATCTTCCTCTTCCTACTCTTATCTGGGAAGACGTCATAATCTCTGGGAACACGCTTTTGGCGTTTTCCCCCGGACATTGGTCTTGCATGTATTTTGTGGTCAGCACATAAGATAAAGTTATGACGTGTTTTCTTTGTTCCCTTAGAGAGCCAAGGCCATCCCTTGCCTGTCCTGATAAAGGACAGAACTGTTTATGCAGTTGTGTCCTTATTATGGTTTTGCTCAACAGTTCAAGTTTTACGCATTTAAAAGTGTTCTCTTTTGAAAGAACAAAAGGGGGGGGTTGAGTCAGTTTTTAAACTTACTACACAGAAACCCATTCCTTCAAGATCATGGGTGGAGGGAGACCCAAGATATGTGAAGACATGAAACGATTCTCACAAGTGTAGCTTGCACTCATGCCTTTCTTTCTTTCCTTTTCAAAATAAATTTTATTTATATATTTTTCATAATCATATAAACAAAATAAAGCATTACTTTGAACATCAATTTCCCTTCTTCTCTTCCATTTATTACCCCTTATTGCTGCATATACTAATTACTCCACATTTCCCTTTCTCATTTTTTCTCAACATAATTTTTACTGCTGAATTTACTCTAATCCCGCTAACGTTTTTACCTGTTTGCAATGATTCTTCAGATGTTCTACAAACATTTCCCATTCTTCCTTAAATCCCCTTTCTTCTTGATCTCTTCTTCTGCTGGTTAGGCTCGCCAGTACTGCGTATTCCATCGTTTTTATCTGTCACTCCTCCTTTGTCGGTACTGTTCCCTCCCTCCATTTCTGTGCAAAGTACCATTTGGGCTGTCGCAGTTGCGTAGAGAAACAGATTCTTTTGATCTCTGTACTCATGCCTTTCTTTTCTCCAAGATGGTGGTGAAAAGGCAGAATGAAACCAATATGATTTCTAAGGAGCCTTCTTGCCCCTCCCAAATGTTGGTGGTTTTCAAAATATTTGTTTGAAATATTTATATTTCAAGGCTCAGTTGGACTTAGCTCGAGGCTCAGGTGGCCTCAGTGGCCCGGAGTGCCTTCCATCAGCTTCGGCTACACCCCTATCTGGACAGGGATAGCCTAACTACTCTTGTCTATGCTCTGGTAACCTCAAGGTTAGATTACTGCAATGCGTTATACATAGGGCTGCCTCTGAAGACGGTTCGGAAACTTCAGCTGGTGCAGAATTCAGGGGCCAGGTTGCTCACCAGGGCAAAATGGTTTGGGCATATTACACCAATCCTGATCCAACTGCACTGGCTACCAGTTAGTTTCCAGGCCCAATTCAAAGTGCTGGTTTTGTCCTATAAAGCCTTTAACGGCTCAGGACTGCAATACCCCAAGGACCGCCTCATTCCATATGGACCTACCCAGACCCTGATATCATCCTCTGAGGCCCTTCTTTGTGTACCTCCTCCTCGAGAGGTCAGGAGGGTGGCAACACGAGAATAGGCCTTCTCTGCAGTGGCTCTCCATCTGTGGAATGTGCCAGGCAAAACTGTTCCTTTTTAAACAGGTCTTTGGTTTATTTGATTGACATCCTATGGTCTTTTAAAATGTGGGTTTGGGGAGAGGCAGGTTATTGGGTTGTTGTTTTTATTTCAATTACATATTTTGTGGTTTTATATTTTGATTTTGTTCTGTGAACCGCCCTGAGACCTCCGGGTATAGGACGGTATATAAATTCTAATCATAATCATAATCATAATCATAATAATAACTAAGCAAGTTGTAGAAGATTTGATGTGGTTGACCTAAGGACATCTGCCTGCTTGGTTGGTTGTGCATTGCACAGTTGCCGGATTTTGTGTATGAAGGCAACTCTTTGTTTGCAATCCTAGCTCCATTGGTCTGCTTCCTCTGACTCTTCCCTATATATACTGGTACTGAGAGGCACCTAAGGGTACTTCCACTTGGTGTGGTTTGTTGTGTGGATGGTGGCCATGCAGATTGCGCACAATTAGCACAGCTAACTCCCTAAGACACACATCTGCCAAAAGGTGGGCCACAGCAGTCCCCTGCCAATTTGCACAATACATGGGGGAGAGGATGCTATCCACATGAGCCATGGTGCATTGCCAGTGTGGGGTGCCCCTGTGCAATTCCTCAGTGGGGGGTGATGGACAGGAAATGTTTTGGATCAGTTCGTTTGCAAAAGGGTCCTTGCAGCAGTACTCTGTGAGTGGTGTGTGTGATGCTGAAAGAGAGAGTTGTGAATTTGGGAAGAGACAGAGTAAGGTAGCTGTGAGTTCAGCTGTACTAGGAGCATCTCATCTGAGCTTTAGGAGGCTAGGACCCCAACAATGAGCCCATCCTGATTTATCCCCCCTCAGTGCTCCTCCTCAGTGCTGCTGCTGACTGCCAGAATGACCACCTGCTGCCACCAGCCACCTCCTCTTACTCTCCAGGCTGCCTCAGGCAGAGTTCATGCATGTGTGTCTGTGGCATTTTCAGTATTGCTAAGGGCAGAAAATGTCCTGGGCTGGCCCTGACAGGCTACAATCACACAAGAGGTTGGGTTGAGCTGGGGTTTGAATTCTGCACTTTAGTTGTACAGGTGGTGGACAGGGCTTTG